GCAACTCGCGAATCGGGTAAGGCCAATCCAAGGATGTCATTGTGAATCGAACAGGGTCGATTCGAAGGTGTAAGTACATTGTCGATTTGGAGGTGTAAATACGTTTATCGGGTAGGGCCGATATGAAGGTGTCATCATGAATCGTGCATGGTCGATTCGAAGGTGTAAGTACGTTTATCGGGTAGGGCTGATATGAAGGCGTCATCGTGAATCGAGCATGGTCGATTCAAAGGTGTACGTACGTTTATCGGGCAGGGCTGATCTGAAGGTGTCATCGTGAATCGAGCAAGGTCGATTCGAAGGTGTACGTACGTTTATCAGGCAGGGCCGATTTGAAAGTGTCAGTACGTTTATCGGCAAGGCCGATCTGAAGGTGTCATCGTGAATCAAGCAAGTCGATTCGAAGGTATACGTACGTTTATTGGGCAGGGCCGATTTGAAGGTGTCAGTACGTTTATCGGGCAAGGCCGATCTGAAAGTGTCATCATGAATCAAGCAGGGTTGATTCAAAGGTGTACGTACATTTATCAGGCAGGGCCGATTTGAAGATGTCAGTACGTTTATCGGGCAGGGCCGATCTGAAGGTGTCATCGTGAATCGAGCAGGGTCGATTCGAAGGTGTACGTACGTTTATTGGGCAGGGCCGATTTGAAGGTGTCAGTATGTTTATCGGGCAGGGCCGATCTGAACGTGTCATCGTGAATCAAGCAGGGTCGATTCGAAGGTGTACGTATGTTTATCGGGCAGGGCGATTTAAAGATGTCCGTACGTTTATCGGGCAGGGCCGATCTGAAGGTGTCATAGTGAATCGAGCAGGGTCGATTTGAAGGTGTATGTACATTTATCGGGCAGGGCCGATTTGAAGGTGTCAGTACGTTTATCAGGCAAGGCTGATCTGAAGGTGTCAGTATGTTTATCGGGCAGGACCGATTTGAAGGTGTCAGTAATTCATCGACCGGGGTTGGTTTGGAGACGAAAAACTTCTGAATAGTACTTCATTAAATATTTGGCCGTGAGGCCAACTGTCTAAGAGGAGGTGGATAGGCCCACTCATCCTTTTTAAAATGAAAAAAAAAAAAAAAAACAAAAACAAAGTTCATCTAGTAGTAGTAGCGTTTGAGGTGAATGGTATTCCAACTGTTGTTGATGTCTTTGCACTCGGGGGTCTGGAGTTTGTAGGCGCCCTTCCTTGTTGCTTTGATTATCTTGTAGGGGCCTTCCTAGGTAGGACCGAGTTTGCCAGAGTTGATCTCCTTGGTGTTTTGGAAGACCCTGCGGAGGGCCCAGTCACCTATCTTGAAAGTATGGATCCTCATATTGCGGTTATAATATCGGGCAGCCTGTTGCTGGTAAACTACATTGCGGATGCTCACTCGTTCCCGTAGCTCGTCCACGGTGTCTAGGTTCTGGCAGAGGTTATGACTGTTTGATTCCTCGTCCGCCCATTGGAGCTTGGTGGACAGAACTGATACTTCAGCTGGGATGACTACTTTAGAACCGTATGTGAGGGAGAACGGGGTTTCGCCCATTGATGAGCGAGTCATGGTTCGGTATGACCAGAGGACTCCGGGTAGCTCGTCTGCCCATGCACCCTTAGCTTTCTACAATCGCTTATTCAATGTCTGAATGATGGTCTTGTTTGATGACTCGGCATGGCCGTTAGACTAGGGGTTGCGGGGAGTTGAGAAGCTCAGTTTGATTCCCCACTTGTCACAATAATCCTTGAAGCCTAAGCTAATGAATTGGGATCCATTATCGGTGACGATCTCCTTCGGTATCCCGAACCTACAGATGACATTCTTCCAGATGAAAGCCTTCATCTTTCGATCTCTGACTTGTGCGAAGGCTTTGGCTTCGATCCACTTGGTAAAGTAGTCTGTCACAGCCAACATGAAGACTCGTTGCCCGGGTGCAGTAGGTAGCTTTCCCACGATGTCCATTCCCCACTTCATGAATGGCCAAGGTGTGAGGATGAAATGGAGTCACTTTGGTGGGAGGTGTGAGACATGGGCAAACCTCTGACAGCTATCGCACTTCTTCACGTAAGCGGTCGAATCGGTGCGTATGGTCGGCCAGTAATATCCAGCGGTGATCACCCGGTGTGCAAGACTGCGGCCCCCTACGTGGTTCCCGCATTCGCCTTCATAGAGTTCGGCTAGAACACTTTGGGCTTCTTCTGAGGTTACGCATTTGAGATAATGGCCCGAGAATGACTTTCTAAAGAGTTAGCCCTTATGCATGGTGAATCTAGCGGCTCTTGCTTTCAGTCGGCGTGCTTCGTTCTTGTCAGCCGGGAGTTCATCGTTTTCTAGGTATCTTACTATCAGAGTCATCCAGCAGTCGGCTTGTTCAACGCCCATAGCTTCTACGGGAGACTTGTTCGATGGTTGTTCCTTCCAGTTGGCTGGCCACTACATAAATAAGAGAGGAATGGATGACTGGGAGGAACATAGGAGTGCCGAGCCAAGGTTGGCGAGGGCGTCGGCATGGTAGTTCTCAGCTCTGGGGATCTGTACGATGGAGAACTCTTCGAATTGGGCCTGCAGCTCTTTGAACATGCTCAAATAGGATGTCATCTTTGAATCGCATGCTTGATACGTGCCTAGTAGTTGATTGACTACGAGTTGGGAATCGGACTTCACTTCCAGTCTCTTGGCTCCAATTTCTCTGGCCAAGGAAAGTCCAGCTAGGAGGGCTTCATATTCGGCCTCGTTATTCATGCACTTGAACCCACACCGGATTGCTCGCTGGACGATGTCTCCCTCTAGTGCGATCAGTACTATTCTGAGTCTGCTTCCATTGACATTACTCGACCATCTACTAGGAGAGTCCACCTTGAGGGTGGTACGCCGTTCATGAATAGTAACTCTCTTTCAGCTTGGGTGGTGGCGCTTGGTGTGAAGTCGGCAATGAAGTCTGCTAGTGCCTGGGACTTGACGGTGGTGCGAGATTGGTAGGCTATGTCGAACTCATTGAGCTCTACTGTCCATTGCATGAGTCGGCCTGATAGTTCTGATTTGTGCAGTATCTTCTTGAGTGGGAAGGAGGTGATTACAACAATGGAGTGGCACTGAAAGTACGGCATGAGCTTCCTGGATGCATGGATAAGGATGAGGATGAGGATGAGGATGAGGGCGAGGGCCAGTTTCTCCAGTTGATTGTGCCGAGTTTCTGCGTCGAGGAGCAACTTGCTCACATAGTAGACTGGTAACTGCTTTGATTCTTCTTCCCGAACTAGCACTGCTGAGATGGCTATTTCTGAGACTGCTAGGTAAGAGTAGAGCTTCTCCCCGTCCATAGGTTTGGAAAGAAGCGGGGGTGTGGTCAGATACCTCTTCAGCTGTTGTAGGGCTTCTTCGTAGGAGGGGTTCCAGTCAAACTTCTTGGACTTCTTGAGGGCATGGAAGAATAAGTGGCACTTATCAGCTGATCTGGAGATGAAGCGGCTCAGGGCGGCCACTCATCCTGCAAGGTGCTGGACATCTCTAATGCAAGTCGGGGATGGTATGTTGAGGATCGTTGTGATCTGGTCGGGGTTCGGTTCTATCCCTCGCTGAGTAACCATATAGCCCAAGAATTTACCTAATGAGACGCCGAATGAGCACTTGGCTGGATTCAGCTTCATGTTGTACTTCCGGAGGACGGCGAATGTCTGGCTAAGGTGGTCAAGGTGTTGTTCGGCAATCAGGGACTTGACAAGCATGTCATCGATGTAAACCTCCATAGTTTCTCCTAAGTAGTTGGAGAACATCTTGTTGACTAGCCGTTGGTAGGTGGCCCCGACCTTCTTCAGTCCGAACGGCATTACTTTGTAGCAGTAGGTTCCCCTCCCTATGATGAAGGCTATCTTCTCTTGGTCGTCCGGATGCATCATGATCTGGTTATATCCTAAGAAGGCGTCCATGAAACTAAGGAGTTCGTGCCCTGCGGTTGCATCTACCATCACGTCGATATGTGGGAGTGGGAAAGAATCCTTGGGGCAAGCTTTGTTCAAGTCAGTGAAGTCGATGCAGACTCTCCACTTCCCATTCTTTTTCTTTACGACCATGACGTTTGCTAGCCATTCAGGGTAGTGGACCTCTCTGATCATGCCGTTGCTTAGGAGCTTTTCAATCTCTTCATTGACGATGCTGGTGGACCATTGCGTCTGGTGAGTGATCTGGATCTGCCTTGAGCTGGTGGACCATTATGTCTAGACTGATTCTGGTCATGTCGGCGTGGGACTAGGCGAAGCAGTCTTCGTTCTGTTTGAGAAATTCTATCAGCTTCTCTCTTGTCTCGAGTTTGAGGCGAAAACCTATATGTGTCTTTCTCTCGGGGTCATCCGGATGTATCTGCACTTCATCCAACTCCTCAATAGTCAGTTGGTCAAGCTCAGTCCGAGGGGTTGGATGAGACTGTAATTGCTATGAAGAGTTTCATTTGCTCTTGAAGGCGTTCTTGTAGCAGTCTCTGGAAGCTTTGGGGTCGCCCTTGATCTCTCGTACCCCCCACTTGGTTAGAAACCCGATCATCTGGTGGAAGGTAGATGGGACTACCCGCATGTCGTGGATCCAGGGCCGACCCAAAATGACGTTGTAGGGAGATGGGCAGTCGATCACCAGGAATACGGTCTGTTTGTTTACTCTGTCAGCGTAGATGGGAAGGACGATCTCTTCGATAGAGTATTTCTGCTCCGAGCTGAACCCAACCAGCAGTGTCGGCCGCGTATTGATGTTTGCTTCTTCTAGTCCCATTGCCTTTACTGCTTCGAGGAACATGATGTTTGCTAACGAACCCCCATCTACGAACACCCTTTTCACTAGGATGTTGGCAATCTGCAGGGAGACGACTAAAGCATCTTGATGAGAAGCGGCCAGGGTGACCGGTTCGTCATCTTCAAACTGAATTACCTAGTGAAAGTGTGACCGCGAGACCGGATGGATGGACTGGACTTCATGGTGGTGGTTGGCTCTAGCATACTGCTTGGCCGATGAATAACTTACCCCACTGATCTCTGATCATCCAGAGATGAGCGAACAGAAATCCTTCGCTATGGGTTCTCGCGGAGGGGTTGACTGTTCTTTGGAGCTTTTCTGGCTAATGGTGTTCTTCCCCTTGTCAGTAAGCAGATCACGGAGATGTCCCCTTTTCAGAAGTGCAGCAACCTCAAGTCGCAAGGCAATACAGTCTGCGGTGTTATGCCCATGGTCGCTGTGGAACTCGCACCACTTGGTTGTGTCTCTCCTTGCCTCAGGATTGAGCTTGTCAGGCCACTTGACGGTGGATCCCAATCCTTTCATTATTGCTACGACTTGGGTTGGTTCGACGTTGAGGTTGTACTCCGGTATTTTGTGTCGGTTCGATCCAAACTGCTTGTTATCATTTCTCGCGGGTTGGCGATCATTAGGCTTCCTGACTCTGCCCATATTGCGTGCTAGAGGTTGGTAGCGGTGCTCTAACGGTCCAGGCTCTGGCTTCCTGTCGCTCCACCTTGATTCATATCTAGAATGAGCAGCTTGGTTCATCTCATCTTCCTCCCATGTTATCTGGATAACTGCCCGGGCCAAAGTGTCTTCCATTGTGGTGCAACCCAAATTCGTAAGTTCTTTGTACAGTTCTCTGTTCAGGAGGAGGCCTTTCCTGAAAGCGTCCACAGCAGTCTCGGGGTTACATGAGGGGATAGAGATCTTTTCTCTATTGAATCTGCTAACATATTCTCTCAATGGCTCTCCCCTTCTCTGGTATATTCGAAATGGGTCAGCTGACAGTTTCTCTAGTTTCTTGCTACTGGCGAACTGTTCCACGAAGGTGTCGGTAAGCTGGGCGAATGAATTGATGGATCCGTTTGGGAGGTTTGTGTACCACTGGAGCGCCGGGCCGGACAAACTAGAACCGAAACTTTTGCACATGCAGGCTTCCTTAAGCGATCGGGGTATTGAGACTGTGAACAGCCAATGCTTGTACGACGTATGTAGTCATCTGGGTCGTTGTTACCATCATACGGTTTCATGTTGGGGATGGTGAATTTCTGGGGCATGTCGACCAGAGCGATCTCATCCACAAAGGGTGAATCAGCGTAACAATAGGGTCTGCCCTTCTTGGTTGGGACCGGCATTCCTAGAATGCGTCTCATCACTGCCTCGACATCGGCCAGTCTCTTGGCCAATACTTGTTCCATAGGAGGGGGGGATACTAACGGGTCATCGCGTCTTACTGGGTCTGCTACTACATTTATTCTCGGCACATTCCGTTGGGTCATCCCTCGGGGGCAGTCTGATAGATCATTCCATCGTGCATTCCTTGGTAGTATGGATCTTCGTTCATCCCTTCTGGTTGGATGACTCCCATTGTCACTGTTCTATTATTCCGCCCTACATGAATGGTCGGGGGAGTCGACTGGTAGTCACTTGGTCTATCAGGATGGATGAGCTCGAGTGTTGGAGTTGGTTTGGTTTGGCCATTCAACCCGTGAGGGTGAGCCGAGCCGAATGGGGTTTGTGTTTGGGTTGTTGACTGGAGGTGGAGCGGGACGGTAAGGATGGGCTGGTCTTACGGATGTGGGCTTTCTATTATTGGATTGTCTTGGTCACGAGGTTGGGATGGGTCGGCTGGATGGTGTTCTGCTGGCATATCTTTGTCTCCATTAGTCAAAACAGAATCGTCGAGTGTCAGTACGCTTAACGGACGCAGCCCTTTACCAGAGACCGAGGGCCGATGCTCTGGTGTGGAGAGTGGTTGCATGGATGGGATAGGGGCGCGGAACCGATTGGAGGGAACTTGGTTGGGCAAGAACTCGAGATCATAGAATTGAATCACCTTCTCTTTTAGAGACTGGTTTTTAGCCCTAATGGACGCGTTTTCGGTTTGGATTGCATTGTTCTAGGTTTTCAGTGCGGCCACCTTGTCTGAGTTTTGTTGCATGAGAGAGGTCAAACCTCCAGTCTGGCCTCGAGGCCGAAGTTAACATTGTCAGGATTGTCAGCCATGGAATGTTCCTCCATGTAGCAAGGTTCGTCAAGCCGAATGACTGCTAGAGGCCCCACGGTGGGCGGCAAACTGTAGACGTAAAAATCTACCTGTACGGAAGGGGGGTCTAATCCCGTGAGGTCGAGGCCACTAGCGATCTACTGCACCTGCACACGTAGAGAAACACACGCATGAAGTGAACGAGAAACACCAAGGTGGTGTTTGCCGTAGGCACTCCGACGCTCAAGTCAGCAAGGTTGAAAAAGGCTAGTATAGTGAGGGCTAGGGAATAGAGAGGTTACCGGAAGTCTAGTCAGAGACTGTGACTACGGCGGTGATGTAAAGCTCTCAAGTATTAGCTTCGGGTGTGAAGGTATAATGTACTCCCCTTTATGAGAAGGTTGGCCTCTGTTTATATAGTGACTGTCTGGTCTCCCAATCCTGGTAGGAGTAGGAGTCATAATGTGACTCTGATGCAAACCCTAGAAGAATTAGGGTCGTGGTAAGCTGTCTTACCAGTGTCCTGATAGGAAAGTGATTCTGACTAGGAAAGTAACTTCGAGTAGAAAAGTGTTCTGAACAGGAAAATGACTTCGTGTAGGAGATTGATCAGGAACAGGAATATGATCAATGGGTCGTGGGCTCGGAACTTGCCTATAGGCCCATGAAGTGAACTGGAACTGGGAGGCCCGTGCCCAGAGGGTTTGGGTCGGCCGTATCTCGTATCAAATGGGGACTGATCTGGCTTGTGCCTCTTTAGGACTGGACCTGGTTTTTTCTTCACTAGTGGTCCTGTTTTCTTATTTGGGTTAAGGACGATTTTTTGCCCTAACAATATAAAACATCAATAAAATCATAATATAAACGCTAAATACTAGGTAATTATTTACGTAATTAGTCGTACCTTGCCATTTCAAAATAAAAACAATCTTGTCTCAAATTCTTTAACTTCTTTACTTTCATAAGTTTGTTTGAACATCACCTGGTAGAAATGAATCATTCAACTTAATAACTTCTTGTTTTTTGTAACGTGATCTCCTCCTACTCCCTCTTCTATTGTATACGTGCTCACCATGAGCTTGCTGTTTTCTTCAACTTCGTGGTAGTGAAACAGACCCACTCTAGGTTTGTAATCTCTTCTAGTTTGAAAAATCGGTCCATCTCGACTAGCCGGTCTAAGACCACGCCATAGAGGGGCCTTAACTTCCATAAAAGTTAGGGGCCTCTACTATTCCAAGCTTAGTGATTGACCTTGATTAAAATAAAAAAGGATAACATAACAATTTTGCTAATGGTGTTAAGTGATGACATTAATTTTTAACGGGAAGAGATATGATCATTTACTCAATCTTATTATAGGTCATGTTTTTTCGTCAAAGTATGATAATTTAAAATAATTAAAACTTTAGTTCGTTAAGAGTTTACTTTAAAATGATCTTCTAATAATCAACTAATTACTATATAAATTAATTCATATAATTTATTTATTAAACTTAGATAAATGTTACAAAAAATGTAATAGGTATTAGGTAATGCAGAAATGAATATGAAATTTAAAGAAAAAGTGTGCATTCTTCTTTGTACTTTGAGTACGGGCCTACGGCACTAGTGAAGTACGGTTCATGGCGCTTGACACCCGTACAATTATAAGCACATAAATCTAGATTTTATTCAACCGAGAACAAAATTATTAAAAAAAAAAAGAGAGAGAGAGAGAGAGAGAATAACAATTATAAAATTGAAAAAATAAAAAATAAAACTAAACCTTGAGAGCATCATTCAATCAGTTCAAAAAATAAAGACAAATTTACTTCGAGCACGTGTTTGACAACGTAGATAAAGAGGAAACATTAATTATGCTGAGATAAAAAACTATTTAAATTTATTTCACACTTCTTCCTTTATTACTTTCAAATATCCGTCGGTGCCATGTATGTTAGCCAACAAATTTTTTTATTCTCATTGGTTTTTCATCGGAGTGCGATAAATTTCAAGAATATTTTTCAATTCAGAGATTAGGGATCCGCTTATACAATTTATATAATTCTTTGTAATATTCAAAATTATAAATATTATTCATCGTTTAATTTTACTATATAGCAAATATGTACAATCTTGTAACTACGAATCTTCATATTTATAAATTTAAATAAGCAAAAAAATATTGGAGTTAAGAAGTGCAGGATACATTTTAAGAAAACTAGAAAAGAAGAAAACTGAGCCTGAGGCCCTGAAGGTTAGGTTGGAAAAGTACTGAAATAATAAAATTAATTAGAAATAAACTTCTTAGTTTCATATGAATAAATAAACAAAAAAATTAGGTTAAGATTATTAGGAATTATATAAAAAAAATCTTTCAATAATTTAAAAAAAAAAGAAATGAAAATATGCAATTCCGATCATATTTTTTAAACCAATAATGCTAGTCTTACAAAGAAGCCTACAAAGGAGGTATACAAAGTTAACCTCCACCCTTCATATTCATCATTTTTCTCTTTCTCTCTTTCTCTTTTTCCGTTTTTCCTTTGTTTTTTTCTTCATTTTGTAAGTTTTTTTGTAGAGTTCTTTGTAAGGATAGACTTATTCTTTTTAAACAAAGAAAATTATTGACGTGTGGATATATATATACACTAATTAAGGCACGAGCATAAGAAAGTTTTGACTAGTGAAGAAGAATTGAGTACAGCTAATGGAGTTCCCAGTTAATGAGAAGGGGCCCATGTGTTATTGTCCAGACTTGTCCAATCATATCTGGCTGTGACCCAAAACATAAGCTGACGGCAAGTGAGACAATAAGTACTCGTTTTCCATTTATTTATATATTTAAAAAAAATGTACTCTAATAATTTCAATTCCGTACCTAATTACTCAATCCCAATAATTTGAAGGGGTTTGGCGAAACGACACAATCCTAGATACTTTTTCACTTATCATTTGATATACGTTAATTAAATTTATTATTTGACAAGAATAAAATTATAAAAATACTATAATACCCTTATCATTTGAGTTTATAATTTTATAAAATTTGCTATAATTAAAAAATATTCTAAATCTTTTTTTTCTTTGAAAAACCCAATTCACTATCATATTTATACAAGAACATCTCTCTCGCGCACCGCCTCGGGTGGCAACCTCCCTCTCTCCTCCAACAAGCCCACCACAATTACTCACGACCCCAGCCGCCAGTGTTGACAGCCTTGCTCTATAATTTATGTCACACAACCAATGTCAAAAGGATTTATTTTTGTATTTATTTTCATGGATTTTACGGTTTTGATTTAGTATTTTCTTTTTCTTTTGTTTTGTTTATTATGAATTTATGTTCATGGAGTTGAGGTGGAGGAATTTTTGATAGAATTAGAAGTGAATATTTCTGTAAACCAAATTCTGGGTTGTTTGGAAGATGTATGTGAACCAAATTTTGGGTTGAAAATTTGTGAAGGCAGAATCCTTTGCTCTTTTTCCTTCTCTGTTTCAATTCTCTCCCTCTACTTCATTTTATTATTGTTGTGTGTAACTACTTGGTCGCCGGCGATTGCCCATCATTTACAACCTTCCCACAACCAACTCACCCACCATCTATTAGACGAAATTCCTCACCCAAACTAAATTCTGTTTTTTTAGAGCAGTTTTGTTAAGCAAAATCTGGATTGTATGGAAGGTTTATGTAAAGTAATTTCTTGGTTGTATTGTAGAATTATGAAAGGTAAATTTGGTCTTACAGAAAAACTATATATAATCTTTTTATATAGAAGATTTCTGTATATGGAAGAATTATGTAAAATTTTATTGTATGAAGATTTAAGTTTAATTTTTTATTCATAATATTCATATGATATTAATTAATTTATTATATTTGCAGATCTACATAAATAGATATATAATAATAATATATATAATATTATATATATTATATGTCTGACTGACAAAAATACTTTTTTACTATTACAATTATCGTTTGAATTTAACAATGGGTGGAAAGTGTCGTTTTGAAATTTGACAGGTGGGCAAATGTCATTTCGCTAAACCCTAGATGGGAACATGTCGTTCTCCCTATTTTTAATAAATCACCTACAAATTCATCATTTTTTATATATTTTTTATACAACATTACGTGAAATATATAATTCATAATTTAAAATTAAAATTAAACTTTCACCTAATTATATCTTACTACATAATTTATATAAAAATATTATGAAATAATATATTTATACTATTTTCTATTTTAATTTACTTTTGAGTTTGTTCTTCTCATCCTATGCCTATAATCGCGGTAACTCGTAATTG